GAATGTCCTTAGCATCGTTGTCGATCATATGACGAACCTGTCATATGATCCAATGGAATTTTACGATTATGACAATGGTGCTTGTTGATTTTGTTATCATATTGAATGAAATAATTGGTATGCTTTGAAAGGAATACACGTAACAAAAGTTAAACGTAAGATTTACTGTTATGCGTCTTTCTTGTAACAAATCGCAGTAATCGTATTACGTGTGATGATAAATTCAACAAAAGGATTTGCAGTTCTTGTTTCTTGTTATACGCCATTATATAATAGCTTGCGTCTATTACATGGTACTTTTACGTCTTAAAACCAATGGCTTATTTAAAGACAGATATTTTTTAATATTTTATTTAATAATATATTATATAATAATATATGTTTATGTTTATTATATAAAGACAAGTATTTTATAATATTTATTTGGATTTGATGATTTTAATATTTCAATTTTTGTTTTAAATTTTTTATTATAAATAGAAACGTTATTATAAAGAGAAACGTTATATGATTGAATTGAAGAAAAAAAAAAAAAAGAAATTGCGAAGTTTCAAGGCTCTTTAAAAAGTGCGCAATACCGAAGGATAAATTTCACCGCGATCGTTCATTGGAATTTTCGATCCGGCATCTAACCGGTAACTCGTTTGTAACCGCTTATAGCATGATCGAAATACTAAACGCGATTCAACTGCTACGTTTGCGATCTGTTATGCTGTGCACGGAATATCAACGATTCGCTCGACTTTTTTAAAATTAATGAATTGTATATTAGAGGAATACGAATATGTATAAATTATTAAATACAATTTCAAATATTGTTTAATAAACTTAAAAAAAAAATAATTACAATATGGAATAAAATATACTAGAATTTTCAAAATATATGAATATTTTTGCAATATTTAGCCGAATTTATAATTGCAATCATAATACATATTTACGTTATTCCAATTATACTTACTACACCAATGCCTTCGAGAGCGAAAATAGCCGTGCCAAAGAAGAGAGGTAATTGAGACCAGCTCGAGAAGTTTGGTACATCCTTTATACTTGGTAAATCGCTGAAAATATAGTAGAACGTGATCCCCATTCCAGTGGCGATCAAAACATTTGCAAGCATGGAAAATGGCGCCAGATATTTCAAGTTTCTCACGAGAGAGAATATGATTAAGAAAGGTAACAATGCCGCCATATAAAATCGGATATCTCGATCGGTTTCCGTATAATAATCAACTACCCCTTTTACATTGGTCGAGATGAAAACAATATACACGCAGCAGCAGCCTATTAGGTCGATCACTAAGAACGAATTGATTGTCGCTCTGAAAATATTGAAAAATTGAAATTACTATTAATTAATTTCTATTATTTATGATTATCTTTCATTTATTTAACAATTTATTTATTTCTTTGCTGTAAAAATTTTCACTTCTATTATTAAAATAATTTCGTTATCTAATTTTCTAATAAATAATTTATAGATTTTTGTAAAATGCCAAATTCATCAATAATTTATGTAACTAAATATATAGAATGATTCAAAATATAAAAAAAATGAAAATTCAACCAATCAAAAAAAGACAATAAAATCTTACTTTGCTAATCTAGCGTATTTCTGTACAGGTTCAGGACCGACAAGAAATGCCGCTTCTGCGACATCAGCGAACCCTAGGCTCGGTGTTTGAGTCCGCCTGCATAGGTTATGTGCGCATTTAACCAAAATATGCACGCAATAAGTGCAAACTGCTCCAATGAAGAACGTAGCGAATAAGCCAAATAGAAGACCAGCATTCCGGAAGGCCATTGGCATAGCTAAGATCCCAGTTCCCAAGCTTCCTTTCAGTAGATGTATCAGTGTGTCTAAATCCGACGTGGGATGTGCTAACTTTCTATGCTCAAACGGATTGTAAAGGGCCGCTTCCTCATCGTTTGGTCGTTCCACAAGTGGTAACGTCGAACCGTTCGTGACGGTAATAGGTATGTCATTTTTCTCGCACTTGTATCTGCAAAACCAACATTGTTAGTATCCAGTCTCGTTAAAGGTTTTCATTTTTATATTAGAAGGGATATTAATTATCATAGTTTTGAGATCGCGAATATAGATGTGTCGTGAGGATTCATGACGACGTAAGTATGCAGAACGTATTTTTCTTGACATATCGATTATGCGAATGTTTCTGTATACGGTTACGAAAGAAAAAAAAAAGAAAAAAAAGAGGTATATTTATGCGGGAAGAGTGCAGAGTAACATGTGAGAGATTTTTATTTTCGTAGTCGCGCAATATGCACACCACGTATTTATAAGGATCAGTGGGGGAACAGAGAGGATTGAAGTGTTCGTAATCGGTTTATAGAGTAACTAGACGCGATAAAGCTTGCGCAAATGGCGTAGTCAAATGTGATTGGAATGATTTATTTAGAATCTGATTTTTTATATTAATATTCATTTTTTTTTATTAAATTTAATGATTTATATCTTAATTTGTAATTATTATATTTTAGAAATTAAATTGAATTTTGACATTTTAAAATTTTATAATGAAAATATTGAATTTTATATGTTAGATTCAATAACTAATTTGTTTCGTGTCAAAAATAAATCAGACTTTAACTCAAATGATGTTTATAACTCATCAATGCTATGTATATTATTTGCATGAAAAGAACTCATTCGTCAATATTCATATTGAAAAATAATTCTCTATGCAACGTTTTTATTATGTTCGAGGCTACCAACAATTACATTTATCTTTATGTATCTTTATTTCTCAAGTTTGTTACTTCACTATTCATATAATTAAAACATTAATTTAAGAATACTAAAGAATCTAATTTATTTAAAATAAAAAAAAGTATTAAATACGTTTAATTAAAAAAAAGAAAGAAAATAGGAACAAAATCGAGAATCTGACTGACTGACTACACCATTGAACGCGTGCTTATAAATAAAACATAGCATTAACGAGGTTGATGATAGCACGATACAGATATGATTTTGTGGGCGAAATCTACGCGTTTTAATTAGGCAAAAGCTGTAGACTCGTAACACGCATTAATTTAATAATAGAGAACATGAAGTTAGCAATGAGGGTACTGCTTACTGCAAGATTTCGTAGATGAAACAGGTTTTACACTGTATGATCTCAAATAAATTTGATCAGTTGTCATTTTTCTTCACGCTGTGCGTTTAAAATTATGCTGCAAGCGTGAATTTGTTGCATATTGAAGGCGCCAGCGAATAATGTCAAAAGCAAAAACACATTTCTAAAATATTTATTTTTTATTCTATGCGTATAATGATATGTTTATTTATTTCTTAATTTTTTATTAGTTTGATAATAATATTTAATAGAATTGCACTGGCAAAAATTTTGTTAAAATTGATATTGATCTTACTATATTTTATATTTTTAAAAAAATATTTATTTTTTTCAAATCATAATCAATTATATAACAATCTTAAAAGAATTGAATTCTATTAATTAATTTTCATAAGTAAACGACGTTACTCCCTGGCTCCTTTACGAGATTATACAATTGATGCATTTCATCAAATGCCAATTCTAATCGATTAAACTTTCTAAATAAAATAAATTTCATCGGCAAACTCAATCAGTCGATGATGCATTTGATGTTGTAAAATACTCCGTAATTAAATAACGTAATTTAATTCAATTAATTTTTACGCGCGTTTTTATAAGCAAACGGTCTCTTCAATATTCTCCCTGTCGCCCAACTTTCCGTATGTTCATATCAAGGGAACATATATCGAGGAAATCGATAGAAATAACGAAAGATCGATCAAAAATCTCTCTAAAATTTCGACGCATATTTTTTTATTCTCTTTTTTTTCTTTTTTTTTTGTTATTAATTCTTTTTTTTAATCCTAATTCGATTCTCATTTCGTATCGTACGAATGACACGAGGTTTGTTCTATTTATTTTAACGGAAAAAGAAAAAGTGCATGACGCAACGTGTCTTGTGAGATAAAATTTGGCAAGATTTATTTTATAGGATAAAATTAGAATTTTATATGATAATAATCTTTTGCAAAATTATATTCTAGAATTTTAAGAAGCATCAATGATTTCATCATTCGATTTATTATTGAATAATGGCGGATTGATGAAAATAGAATTGATTGATTGATTGATTGTTTCGATTCTTGGAATAATAAAAATTATTGTTTAACAAAATATTAAATATAGTTTTTACTAATATTAGACTAGCTGTAATTTAGTCTTAAAATATAAAAATGACTAATATGCAATGAATTAGAAATATTTTAATATTAATAAATCCTTTGTTCTTTATTTTACTTTATTTATTAATAATTTAATTTCGTAATAATGAAATGAAATAAAACATGTGATGTCTTTTATAAATAATAATTTTTATATTATTATTATTAATAATATTTTATTAATAATATTTAATATTTTGAATTTCGGGAAATATTCAAAAATTCGTGCCAAATGATTTACACATTTAATATTTTTCAAGTTAAAATAGGAAAATAAAATAATAACTATCAAGTTTTGAATATTTAATTATCAGACCAATGAAATGTTCAAGATTTGATATTTAATATTCTATTTTTAATAATATAATAAATTTTCCATGCATTTTTTATTCGAAATTTGAAACTTGAAATTTAAAAAATTTTATTCAATTTGTTGAAACAAATTTTTTACAAAATTTTTTTATAATGAATTATAAAAAAGTCCAGTATAGCAAATTCAAGTTAATAAACAACTAAAATTCTTTTTTCTATTTTTGACAAGCTATCACGAATAATATATTTTATTCTTAAATAATAAGTAACTTTTACGTATAACCATGCACTTTTCCTTGATATATGTACGTATAATATAACATACATATCCCGTAAAATTATTAAAATTTGGATCACGATCGATCTCGAATAAAAGTTACAGTTTTGACTATGATCAGCACGGAAAAAACGAGCAAATCTATTTAGACGAGATGGACAATCGGTCGTTCGAGCGTTATCATTGAAAATTTAGTCAGTTTTTAATATTATCCGATCAGTTATCGTAACTTATACAACCACGTACCACGTGTGCGTATATTTGTGTGTATATTCATGTGTATAACAACGAGAGATACTTAGATAATGTACTAGGGGGGGAAAAAAAAAAAAAAAAGAGAAAAATACAATTTTGTAAAAAGGTAGGTGTGTAGGC